TGCATTTGGGGTATCGTCTTTAGGGCGTCCCCTATCGTTTTACAAGTCAACGGTAGCGTTGGCCATCTGCGACAACCGCCTGCTCTACAACCAATAGACGATAATTTTGACCTCATCTCATATACTATTTGGGCACATGGACCCTTAGGGTCTGTTAGAGGGCCTTCCTGGGGTAGGTTCAGAGTATAGGACCAGTATAGGAGGTAAGCTGCTCGATCTGCACTTTCCTCATCGGAGAATGCGGACCCGGCAAACCTGGAACCCTGGAAGTACCTATGCAGCTGAACAAACGAACACTGACAACAAACAGTGTAATTTTTTCAACACCAGAACTCTGAAAGGCAAAACTCACTGAATCATCAGCACTATGTCTCTTGGTGGGGGGGGGCGATACACTGCTATCAGCGCCCATGCCACCCAACAAATCTTGCACACCCACCCCAAACCCTAGTCCAGTGACATCCAATGGCTTAGGGAGCTCTGTGTTATTTGCCTTAACCTCTGGCCGGACGGCTTTGGGCCGATCACTTTCGTAAAGGACTGGTCGCTCAAACCTGCAAGGCACTGTCCGTGCTTTGGGGTCTCGGGCTCTGGCTTTATACTAAGGGTTCCTATACCCTAAACCCTATAGACTAAGAATCCCTAAACCCTAGAAGCCGTACTATGCGGTTTTGGGAGTCAGAGTTGGGCTCTGGGTTCGGAAGTTGAGGTCTCTCCGGCTCCGGATGTGGAATGCAGAGCCGTCAGCTCTGCAAGGTTCCTTAGGGATCATTCTTTGGGGACCTGGCGGTCTGGCAGAGGGCTGATATAATATAGGGGCCTTAATAACTAGAATAAGGTTCTGGGGCCAGTTGTGCTATGGTTTATAAAAAGGAACCCCCAAAACAATATTGGTAATTAGTTAAGCCCCTATATTAATTGGGTAGAGCCTCGCAGCAATACCACAAGGCTACGGCTACTATGAGGGGAAGGGAAGGTTACGATACGGGTGCTACAAGGCTACTACAAGGGTTACTGTAAAGGGTCCTAGAACTACTATAACGTCCTGTGACTAGCTGGGGTGGTAGTGTGTCAGTGATTGGAAATATTCAGGGTTCGGGGCTCTGAACAACGTTTGGGCTCCAGAAACGTATAGGTGAGATCGATAGGCTGATGTTGTTAATTATCTTCTTGACCCCTGCTAGGTGAACTCGGATCGGCCTGTCAGCGACAGCTCCTCGCAAATGATCTCCATGTCTTCTCGGTCCAGCTGACCTCGACTGCAACTCGCAATAGCAGCTTTGCAGCACTACGTACTCACAAACGCACTGACCCTAAACCCTTTTACCTAAACCCTAAGCGGAACCTGCAGATCGGTACTCGTGCGAGTGCCACCTTCGCAGCACAGAGTTTAGATTCTTCGGCATATGGGGGTTTCAGAAAATAGGGGACCCTAATATAGTACCCTAAATAGTAGGATCCTTATTATAAGGACCCTCAAATAACCCTAAACCCTAAACCCCGAATAGGATACCCGAATTTTCGGAAACTCCCATATGGCTTCGAGTTCCAAGGCGATCCGCCGTTGACGGAAGACCGAGGCAGGGAACCACCGATAGCCGCTTAATCCCTTAGGGGCTGAGTACCCATGGCCCAAAAAAGGTTAAGGAACACATCACTTAGGGTTTAGGGTTTAGGGTTTAGGGTAATCCTCCGACAGCCACCTTTAGAACTTCGGGTTTTTGTGGGTTTTACCTTGGCGTCGTCGGTGTGATTCTGGGATTCTTCTATATAAGTCCCCCGAAACATCCCGAAAGCATCGGAATGTTGCAGAAGCGCTAGTGAGCTCCTCAAGTTCAGTCTGAGGCTTAAACCTGTTTTTGATGAGTTTACGACGCCGGTGTTGCCTTCATGCTCAACTCTTTGCCCCAACCCAGACTATGAACCAAGCACCGCAACATACACCTTTCAAGCTAAGGTGTAACCTGCACAACCTATGAACCAAGCACCTCAACATACACCTTGAAATCTAAGATCCTAAACCCTAAACCCCAAACCTTAAACCTTACAAAAAAAGCCCAAAAGGCTGAAACTTAACTCCCAAACCGCAGCGCTCGGTCGTTCGATGGCTTTTTTGGTTCCAAGAAGTCCGGGCGAGCGGCTGAGCGCACGGATGATTTCGCTGCCATCATTCTGGGCCATGATGACGAGGCCTAGGCTGCCCCCAAACCCCAAACCCTAAACCCTGAACCCCAAACCCTAAACCCTAAACCCCAAACCCTGAGCCCCAAACATTAAACCCTGAGCTAAACCCAAACCCCCAAACCCTAAACCCTGAGCCCTAAACCCCAAAGCTCCTAAACCCTGAGCCCTGAGCCCTAAACCGCCTAAACCCCTAGGCTGCTGCTTCGGAGGCCTCAGGAGGAACGCTCAAGGCTTCGTTCGGGTTGCTTTGGGGTCGTCAAACCCCAAAGCATCGGAGGGGGAGTTCGGACCTCAGAAGTTAGGATTTGGGGTTATCATTACTATGAAGGGTGAGAAGATGGCTTTCTGTTAGGAAGATCTTCGCACTACTCAAAGCATCAAGGTGCCTTGAGAAAAAACCCGTGAGTAGCTTTGGGGAGGCCGTAGCCAAGGCCTTCCTGACAATAAGAGGTCCCGGGCTGAGAACCCTAAACCCTAAACCCCTAAACCCTAAACCGAGCCCGAAGACGCATTTTGGCGATGGCCGTCGCATCAGCCGGGACTGGGCCCAGGGAAGGCAGGTTCTGCCATCGCCACTCGAGGTAGTCCTGCTCACAACCAAGCAAAGAAGGTGATAGCTACAGGTGAGGTGACAAGCAGGATAACCCTCTTCGGCCCCAACCCGTGCACTTGCAAACTGCTTAGGGGCTTCTGTTTGGGGTCTTGGATTTCAAGGCTTCTGAAGTGTTCGACCCTCTTTTTTTTAGACGGGTTTGCAGTAGCATCTTGACCTGAAACCTGGGGATATGCAAGAATCACCGACCTACCTCTGATTTTGCCGAGCCAGAAACATCACTACTGCCGCTGCAATGCATCAGCTTGCTCATGAAACCTACAGCCTAACCAGGGCCTATATGACCCTACCAAACCCCCAGGCCCATACGCCACGCATCCGACTTCAGGGAAACCGCAAACCCCAAAGCCCTGCAATCATAAGCCGCGAATCCCGACACCAAGAATGGCAAAGGCCCTATCTGTCTATCCATCTATATATCTATGTATCTGTGTACATATATAATATATATATATAT